GATAGCTGGAAACTAACTCATTAATTATGAGAGGAATTCAGGTTAAAATAACTTCAAGACCACTTGTGTAAAACCAGACACATTTATAGATTTTTTACCACTGCCTAGCTGACAATGTGATAAACTCTCTACAGCCCTCTATTATGGAAGCTACTGACTTCCTTATACATATTCCACATGTCATAACAGGCTTTTATTCAGAACCAGTGACCTCGTTTGAAGAAATGCAATCAGTTCTTTGAAGCAAACTAGAAGTTTCGACATGTATGACCTAAACAGTATAATAATTAAAGAGTCAATAGAATTTTTAATCCCCCCTATGACAATTTTAATAAATGCATGTTTCAGTGAAGGAGTGTTTCCTGATGCACTGAAAATCTCAAAAATTATTCCTATACTACAAAAAGGCAACGAAAAATTACCTGATAAACACAGACCTATTTCGTTAGTTCCAGTGTTTTCCAAAATCATAGAGATAATTTTGAAACAAAGATTAATTAAATATTTCGAGAAATATTCTCTCCTACACGAAAATCAGTTCGGATTCAGGAGGAGCTATTCAACAATTGATGCTATCTGTAGGATTGTACAGAACATTGTAGAAGGCCTTGAGCTTGGTAAACATGCGGGAATCACAATGTGCGATCTTAGCAAGGCCTTCGACTGTGTCTCACACAATAGTCTAGTGAAAAATTTCAAATACTATGGCATTAGAGGTCCACCACTTCAGCTGCTGAGAGCGTATTTAGTTGGCAGAGCACAGTGCGTTAATGTGGATGATGAGCTATCAGAATTTAGAACAGTGAAGCATGAAGTACCACAGGGTTCAATTTTAGGCCCATTACTGTTCATTATATACATAAACGACCTGTCCATCTAAAATTTCCAAAAACTATAATTATGTTTGCAGACGACGCTTCTTTGGTTAACTTTGACAAGGATACTTTGAGCCTAAATACTGCTATGGAAGAGGCAGAAAGCAAAGCCGAAACGTGGTACAATTCCAACAATCTCCAACTGAGATTGTTGGAGTCTGTATGTGTGTGCGAGTGCGTGGGCATACCTATATGTATGATTCATTAATATAATTCATATTACGAAGGAATTTATACTATAAACTGACACAGTCTTCCTAGTTTTACATTGTATAATGAATGACATGACTTGCTATATACAAATGTTTTTTTACATAAAGTAGTCAAATAAAATCTATATACACACATATACATATACATGTACACACATACATATATACACATATATCAAAAGCTTAATCTAAAATGTATACAATGTACAGAAAAAAAATTATTGGAGAATAAAACAAAACAAAGCGATGTGATAATATCTAAAATATATATATATAAACTGTGGTGGAATAAAATAAAATAAACTGCAATGCACAATGAATACATGTAGTTTCATCAATGATTAATGAAAAGTCTCAGCGGAACCATAATTGAATTGTTGATTCTCAGATTTACACCCAATTGTATATATCAAAAGCTCAATCTGAAATGATGTATACAATGTACAGAAAAAATTATTGGAGAATAAAACAAAACAAAGTGATGTGATAATATCTAAATTATATATAAATAAACTGTAATGGAATAAAATAAAATCAAATGCAATGCACCATGTGAGTTTTTCGCCATACAGTTTACAAAATCGCAAAACGTATTTCACTATACAATATCTTCAGGCATGTTCAGTAGTAACGTGTTAGAGGCCATTTTTCAGACATGCTGCAACCTTTTTTACAATTGGGAAGATACAGAAACGCACATGAGTCGTCAGATAATAGTACACAAACCACAAACTAATGAAAACTAAACGATGTGGCTACTACTCCGAACAACCTGACGTAAAGAACAATCGCTTTTATTTTCGAAATTCACTGAGAGTGTTAACATTAGACAGAACCATTCCCGATTTGGTGTTGAAATTGATAATGAGATAAATATTGAATTGGCTCACTGTGAAATATGGAGTGCCCACAATGTATTTGTTGTGAAAACGAACTGTGTTTTCGTATAGTTGAATAGTTTGTGAATAGTTTTTCGGTTTCGCTGAAACCGTAAAACTATTCATAAACAAAATGTAATCACTGTTAGGTGTCATATATCTTCAGCCCTTCAAAAACAAAAATGTCAGAATAAAAACTCCAAGAAGAAATACTNAGCTATTTCCTGATTATCTTACATATTTCAGTTGAAAAAAGTTAATGAGTCAATTTGACGTTATTGTTTTTGTTCATTTTCGAGCCTCCACGAAATGGAAAACATTCAAACACGTTTTTCTTGAAACATTTTTCCACTAACGGATTTTCTCCCCTGTGCGCTTCAAATGATTGATGTATAACCGAACATTTTGTCTAAAGTTGCTGACCATGCGTTAAGCGGCTAAAGAGGTCTGGGTCTGGCTCTGATGTCACAAAACAAAAAATAAAGATGCAATGTCTAAAGCGCATTCGGCCGTGAATTTACTTATTGTTACATTTGAAACATATTGGATCACGATTTGTTGACTATAAATGTGAATATCCGCATCAAACATTACTGAATAAACTTTAACTGTATTCCACCTTTTGCTATAAATCCGAACTTTGTGTGTCGAAGAAGTGCTATGCCCTTGAGCATGGAGGGTGTTCATTTTGTCTGAAATGTATCAAATATAAGGTCCATAATTTTCTGTTGTCAGTGATAGTTAGTTATTGACAGATAAGTAATTTCATAATTCGAGTCACCGAATTATAAAATTACTGTCGTACTAAACTTCTCTCATTCTAATAAAAAAATGGATTCATTTTGATTTAAACTAAGTCAGGTGAAGATAAACTTTTCCATACTCTTTGTAACTGCATTTTTTTTCAAGTTTTTATTAGTTGCATTTAATAGAATGGAAAGGGAAACAATAAGGAAAGTAGTCTAGTAGGAATTGATCTTCAATATTTAAGGCTGCCTTTGTACCTATTAAAGTAGAATTGTTTTTGCACAGAAGGGGATGTTTTGATTTTCCCTCATAAAATGCGCACCTAAATAATTACAAATTTATTGAATCTATTACGAAAATGTCTGAATCAAAGTACGAAAATGAAATAACGGGTGGCTACTCTGTTTGTGATTCTACGGATTGAAATAGGTAGTGGGTAGTCGTTAGCCGTGTTTTTGAATAGTTGTGTAGTGAAATGAATAGTTGTGTAGTATGAATTTTCCAGAATTTACTTTATATAATTGTGGAAAGTTGTGTTGGTGCTTCGTATATTATCAATATTCAAAACTGCAAAAATTGTGGTGTTATAATCGAATAATAAATGAGTAACTCATTGAGTTGTGAATATTTTCAGAGAAAGTGTCAATCGCTTTCTGGCATGTTTTTTTTCAGTAAACTGTTCACATTATGGTGTCTGGTCAATCTGAGACAATATGAACATGAACAACAATTAGGTGGGTATTTATATGACTGTGATCTAACGTTAGTTAAGAATCATATAGAAAGAGAATAATAAAATGATTAGAAAAACTTTTGCTTGCAACTTTTTAGTTCAATATGCAACAAATATTCAATTTCTACCCTGATAAATTGACACACATTTTATAACATTCATATTAATTTTTTTATATATCTGTTCCACCAGTTTCATACACCATACTTTTATTTTTACTTAAAGAGAGTTTTCAGCATGTACATACATGAAAGCATTCATACTTTTATTTCAAAGGGTGTATGAATTCAATTCATTTACATTGCCCTTAACTTTTTGAGAATAAAACTAAAAGTGAAAGTTTGCCATCATGATTCGTAATCAGTTTGTACATTAGTTTGTACTTATGTATATCACATTTCAGTTTCATGTATTTTATGTACTATATAAATATATCAATGAGTCAAAGTTTCATTAAGTATTGATATATCTTTGTAGTATAATTTGTGTCATTTCAGCTGATGCAGAAAAAATTGGAAAAGTCCAGATAACCAATCAAAGTATGAATAGTATAACCATATCATGGGAGCAGCCTGAGGATCCAAATGGTCAAATATCCATGTATTCTGTAGAATACCAAAATATCGATATCGAAAATGTAAGTTATAGATGTAACTTCAAAGTCCAGTATTTCAATTTAATTTTTCCAGTCGAGGCCATATTCTGAATGTGTCAATGCGAAGGGCAAGAATAAAACAGTGGTATATACAATTTCAACACTTTTTGCTGGCAACTATAGATGATTTTGTACAATAAATATTCGTTAGGTAAGTAACAAGTTATACTACTACATAATATTAAATCATTATATTTCTCTGACTTATTTTATTGAATGGAACACGCGGAACAAGAGCAGATTGCAGGTGACCCTGATGCGACACATAATTCAAATGTGAATGTAAAAAGTTCACTGTTGTCAAGCGAGCAAGCAGAAGATACTGTGAAACCAAAAAAACTATTTAAATCGCCACAGAAACGCTCTTGGTCAAAAACAAAAGTAAAGGAAAATCCAAGACTCACTGTGGCATTCAACTATCTTCAAAAGAAATCTGAAGTATCTGATCGACCTAAAGATGACTGCCAGCTTTTTGCAGATTACGTTGCTAATAAACTAAGAAAATTTGATGACAGATATCGCGCAACCGCTCAGCATGGGATAAGCAATGGTTTGTTCGAACTAAAAATGGAAAAGTACAATTTCCCTCGAGGTTGCAAAGAATATTGTCCTCAACAGTTGCCGCATTGTGGTCCAACAATGCCAAAGAGTACTACACCGCTAAGTACAGCAAGCAGTAGTACCACAGGACTATCACCTTATGAGAATAATAATAGTCTAACTGGTTATTTTAAAACATTTCCAGGAGATGACGGTTCCTTGCTGATTTTGTAATCATTTATTATTAGATTTGCAGAATCTCACATTTTGTTTTTAAATACGTGCGTATTATACAGGGTGTCCCTGGACTTCCTCTTTTCCTCTCGGGAATGTATAGATGGGGTCAAAATATCACCAGTACTTCATATAACTTTTTTTCCTAAAAGTCTTCGTAACCAAGTTACGGGCCCTCGAAGTTACAAAATGAAAAATGTTTTTCTTTGATAACTTTTCAAGTGAATATTCAAAATCATC